CAGGAATGGGAAAGAAAAATGCAGATCAAAATTGCAGAATACCTGGGATGAGGGATGGAAGGGAAGTTGAGGCAGAGGAATTTAATAGCTGTTCCAAAAAACTTCTGTAGTTCTCTCTTCTAAATAAATATTTTTAAATGCTCATTTCATTTATATTGGGAAGAGAGCTGATTTAATTTTTAGGATGGATAGGATGTGAAATAATGGTACAGTAGAATCTGTTTTCCAGCAAATTAGACACTGTAACATCTGATAAGTTATATTAAGTAATTTGTAATAGTCTGAAGTAGGAGGACAAAACAGCTTTTTCATTCCAGCAACTAAGTTAACACAAGGCAGGACTGAGTCAGTTGGGGAATGTCATCTGCCAGATGTGTGGTAGGATGTCCAGTGCAAGCTGCTGAAATGAACTGATAACACATAGATTTTGAGATGGTGCAATCTATTTCTGGCCCCATTTATTTTTTCATTTAATGTCACATGCATCTGTATCACTGAGGATTGTCCAGAGCTGCCTGGTGAAACACTGACATCCAAGTAATCCTGTAGAGTTAATCTTACAGTTGAATCTGTAGAGTGCTGCATCCTTCTCTGGATCTAAGATCTCTTGCTGAGCTAAACTACTGCTGGATTTATTAAGGCACATACAACTCAAAGTGATGCCAGATATTGAACTCATTAGATAGATCAGTTGGAAGGGAAGGATTGCAGTATATAGTATAAAAAGAAGATAGTGTTGCTGTAGAGTACCTCATCTATAGTGAAATCATCCTTCCAAAAGCTGAACGTTAGTTTGCTTTATCTGTGTGTAGCATGTCTGTAATTCTTCATGTGCTGCAGCATTTTTTGAAAGCTCTTCAGATTTATTATCATTCGACTTTAGAACATCGGCCTTTCCTCTCTTGTAGGAGATAAGTCTTCTACTGCTCAGAGCACAAAATGTTGATGTGCCTTCCATATACAGGGATTGGCTGAAATGGTAACTTGTATTTTCTCTTGGTGCTTAGGTGCACATGAACTTGAACAGATGCAGTTGATTCTAGAATCAATTCCTGTTGTACATGAGGAGGACCGTCAGGAGCTTCTCAATGTGATTCCAGTTTACATTAGAAACGATATGACTGAGCCACATAAACCTTTAACTCAGTTGCTTCCAGGCATCAGTCCTGAAGGTAAGCAGTTCAGAAAAAATACATCATAAAATAGTGAATAGCTTTACAGTGCATGTGTGTGTGTTAAAGGAAGTTTCTGTTAGAAAAAACTGTGCATTGTCTTCTTCTTGTAATAAAAAAAAATTGATTACATGTTACTTGCTTGGTCATATTTGGAGTAGAATTGTGTGTCTCTGCTGA